TGAGGTAATAGAAGTATTTATGTTGTTATCATCACTGTTATTTATAGCACCGATCGTTATCACATGTATTATTAGCAACATGATGTGTATGCCTCTCAGTGATGATAAGATATTTTAAAATAATTATTATGAAAATAACAATCATAATAATGATATTAATCATAATGATAATAGCAATATCAATGATAATGATAATAGTAATAACAATAATAATAATGGTATTCATCATACAATAACAATAATGATATATAATGATAATGATGAAAATAATAAAGATAACAATGATATAATAATAATGATAATAATGACAGTATCAGAAATAGTAATGATAATGATAATTAAGATCATGATAATGATGACAATGGTAACATTAATAACAAAAACGATGATAATGATATTATCAACAATAATGATGATAATCATGAATTAATAAAGATAATGACAGTAATAGTAATAATGATAATAGCAATGATATTAATATTAATCATATGAATAATATCATATTAATAATAAAATGATAAATACTAATATCAATTACAACAACAACAATAATAATAATAATAGTAATAATAATGATAACAATGATAATAATAATAATGATACCGATAATAATATGGATGATAAATCACATCATCTATAATAATATGATAGTAAGCACAATAATGATACCTATCAAAATAACGACTACAGTGTTGATGATAACAACAGAAATGGTAGTTAGTTTTAAAGATATTGATACAGTTATTATTATCATTGCGTTTTTGTGTTCATTGTAGTATATTTGTAATGATGATAACTATACTATTGTGATGTAGATGAGGATGTCCATAATGATAACGGTAATAATAATATCATCGTAGCAATAGCAATAATGGTAAATATGATTATATTTAGCATTACTTTGGTACTCACAAATCGTCATAATAACACAATTATCACGATAAATACCACAATTTGATGAAAAAAATAGCATAAAATTCACATTCCTACTAATGAAAATTTAAAATATGTGCATTGATTATTGAAAATCACAGCTTTTGAGCAACGTTTGGGCGGTTGTAAATACAGCTTCAGCACCAACCCTGCCACCAGCTGCTCACCACCTTATCATTATTTCCAAATTACGTAATCAAACCTCTTGCCTTTTTAATTTTTTGCATCCGGCTTACGATTCAAACTCAACTGTGATCTTAGAAGCACACGAATAGAAGACAATCTGAATAATGATTTAAAAAAAAGGTAATAACACCAAAATCGACACTTTCTCGCGTTACGTAAAAAGCTGATTGAATGATCCAGTGAGTCACAGGTGAGTCAAATATTACAATGAAGAAAGGCCCTCGGTCCTTATAAGGGGTCTCAGCGATGCATATATACACCTCTTTAGGCCGAGTGTGGGATGCGCTTTTGCGAAGTGAAATGACGTGATCCTCCGCTCCCTCACACCTGTGCTGGTCCGTAGAGGTGTGTGTAGGTGTATGGCAAGGAACATAGAACTACCTTAGTGTCTGTTTTTTCTCTTTTTTCTCTCTTTCGTTAGCATTTCATTTCATATATGGGTCTTATTTTCTCTATTCCTCTTCTCTTTTTCTCTCTTTTGTCTCTGGATATTTTCTTCCTTGTGTCTTTCAATTTTCCTTCTACTTATTTACTTTTCGTCTTCAGATTCCTTGTCTTTCGTCACTTTTTCCTCCCTTTTTTCTTCAACTTCATTTCCTTTCTTCCTTTCCTTGTTTTTCTTCCCTTTTGTCTACTTTTTTCCCTGTTCTCTACCCTCTGACCTGAGCGAGCGTGTCAGTTTCACATTCAATTACCTCGTTTTGACCTTAAATGGTGATTTTAATGGTCGACCCAGCCATGTTAATTTGCATTTAGTGAAAAGAAAAGAAAGCAAATAAATCAAACTGCTATTTAATATCTTCAGCTACATCTACCCATTATTTCAAAAAAAAAAAAAAAAAATATATATAATATATATATATATATATATATATATATATATTGTAATTTGTACAGTAGTATGAGTGCATTCACATGCACGCCTTCACACATGCAACATTCGCACAACAACACATACACACAAATGTATTTCCGAGGATTATTCGTAAAATCCATTTGCTGCGATGAATTTTCTTCTCGGATCCTCAAAAGAGATTTTAAAGTGTCGACAAATTCCCACGGGTTGCCTACACTCGTGAGACAAAAGTGTGCGTCTTGTGGTATGAATCTCCATCTCTCTCTCTCTCTTCTCTCTCTCCTCTCTCTCTCTCTCTCTCTCTCTCTCTCTCTCTCTCTCTCTTCTCTCTCTCTCTCTCTCTCTCTCTTTCAGTCTACTATCCGCCTATCTCCTGGGTTTTTCTCTCGTTCTCTCCCCTCCCTCCCCTCCTTCCCTCCCTCTCGCTCGCTCGCTCTCCCTCCCTTTCTCTCACCCCCTTTCTCACGTGCCTGAGGCGTAGTGCCACACATTTCCTCATCTGCTCTCCACCTGCATCTTCAACTT